TATTTATATGGCAGCTAATCACAACAACAGTCACTTAATATTATAAAGTAACGACTTTAAAATAATAAAGAAAATCACATAATCTCCACACATTTGATGTCCAGATAAGTTATTGATCTATAATCCCGCAGCACTGATTTTATTTCTGTGAAGTAAAATCAAATTTTCACTGGTTTGTGGCAACCTGCTCTTTCGAGTGACAGTTCAGTACTTTTTTAAAGCGATAAAATAAAAAAAATAGCTTTACTTTTTATTTCTATACATCCTTCTATCAATTTTTTGAACTAGTTGGCACCATTTGTGGTTGTGGGGTCCTGGAGTGTATGCTGTTATGCTGCGTGAGACTTTTTGTGTAATTGAAACATTATGTGATCATCTCATTGGTGTAAATATTGATTCTAGCAGTGTGACGTCAGGGTTTAGAAAGGCTGACGAAATTGAACAATTCTGAATAAGCGCTGAATGATTTGCCTTGAAATCATGTTCTCCACAGGATGCAGAGTAATCACTTTAATTATGCTCATTCATCTAAAGGGAGTTTTTCCTTCCCACTGTTGTCAAAGCGCTCGCTCACAGGGGTCATCTGATTGTTGGGGTTTTCTCTCTTTTATTGTAAGATCTTTACCTTACAGTATAAAGCACATTGAGGCAACTGTTGTTGTAATTTGGCACTTTATAAATAAAATACAATTGATTTGAATCTATGTAATATTCTAAAGTCAACATTTTAAGTTGTATCTTCTGTTATGATTACGCAGCACAGATGGATTTCCCGTAGATTTGAGCTATGCTCTGCATTTAGCTGCACTGTAACTGCTAAATATTTCCATTGTTGGACATTTAAGTTCAGTTATAATTTGTTCTAGGTTTGCAGCACAACTGCAGTCAGCAACTGTTCCGACAACTCCTACCTGAATATTGTCTGTCACCAGATCCCAAATCTTCAACAAACCTCTTCTTCTGTTGTTGAAGGTAAAACTGTTTTTTAAAGTTTTATATGTTCCTGGTTACATTCTCTTTAAAATTGTTCAAAATTTTTCCCCCAGAACGAACAAATAAGTCTGTGGAAGTCGTTTTTTTATTTGATGGATCAGCGAGTATGACCGAAAGAGAATTCAACAAAAATAAAGACTTCATTGTGGAGATAATGGGCAGCCTTAGGGACACGCCAGTAATGGTCATTATATATTGATGTATATAAACTATACATTATATGAGTAATGAGTATAAGTAGTAACGTATATTTTTGTTGTTGTTTGTTCCGTTTCCAGTTTGCAGCAGTTCAGTTCTCCACAACAGTCCACAAAGTGTTTGACTTCAACGACTATGCAGCTGGACGTGCTCTCGATAAACTTATGAAAGACAAACATTTAAAAGGTCTCACCAGCACACACAGAGCCCTCGAGTTTGTGTTGTAAGTTGTGTCAAAAGCAGCAGGATCAATACAGCTGTGAGATAATGAGCACTGTATTTGTTCATTTATTCATATTTTTAAATGTTGTTTATTCTGAGTGTTGCTTTGCTTTCGCATTTGTTTCAGAGATGAAATCTTTGACAACCCAGCTGCAGGCTCCTCTCCTGATGTTACCAAAGTTCTGATTCTAATCACAGACGGAGATCCCTCTGATACAGACAGGAATGGGATCATTAAAAGATACGATGATAAAAATATAATTCGTCTTGTCGTTGGGGTAGGATGTGATGTGTTACACCAGTCCCAACAGAAAAATCATATTTATCCGTTAGACAAATAAATGTGATCATTTTGTGTCACATAAACACTCTTATAGTATTAGACTGTTTTATTCACTGTTATTTAGATGATACACAGTCATACTAAAGTAGAAATGCATCATGGTGTCAGTCTCAGCACAAACAGCTCAGCAGATTTCAGTTCTTAGTCCAGTTTTTACTTCCCATGCTGATGTCAGACTTTGAATTTCATGTTTTCAAGCAGTATTCTGATTTCAGGTCGGACATGCTAAGCTGGATAAATTGAGGGCCATTGCTTCGGAGCCAAAACATAGAAATGCCTTCAAAATTGAGAACTATGATGGACTCACAGGAGTGCTGGAGAATATACAGAAAAAGATATTTACTGTGGAAGGTGATGTTAAACTTTGTTCCCTGTTTTGATAAATACATTTACAGAAATCACTGTTATCTTCCTGGTGTGGACCAGTGGTGGTCACATGTATCTCTTTATTTATTTAGGCTGCACAGCTCCTCTGGCAGAATTCAGTGGATTCAGTGCTGTTTTCAAAAAGGTGATTTCAAAAGGTTAAAACTGCACACATTCAAAGTGTAAATTATTTACTTGTGACGAGATTAAAATTTCTCAGTCACGGCTAACCTGACATACACAGGTGCAGCTAAAGCGCAGATAATAAAGCACTGACTACTGCTAAACTTTACTTTTACTTTCTAAAATTTTAAATTCTTATTGTTTGGAAAATAAAATCCACACTGACAGACTGTTTGACACAAATAGAAACACTGGAAATGTGCTAGAATTGTAAAATGTACTCTTCAGTCTTTCTGTTTGTAAAACAAGTTGTTTTAAAAATCAAGAACTTTCATTTGAACCTGTACCCGACAATCCACTAATATTGGATTTTGAATATCTCACCAGCTACAGTACAGCATATCACCAATAGATTCAGTGAATCAAGAGAAATCTGTACACAAGGGACGAGGCCAAAAATTAATATTGGATGTCTGTTATTTTCGGGGCCCCAGGCAGCAATGCATTAAGAAGGTGAATAATTATTTCATGGAAATCAGATGAGCATGGGCTCAGGAACACTTCCAGAAATCACTGTCTGTGAACACAGTTCACCATTCCATCCACAAACGCAGGTTAAAGCTCTCTCATACATATGTCTGTGAAGGTTCTCATTCATCCAGGTCATCATAGTCAAAAGAGCTTGCAAAGAAAAGCGTCTGGACTTCTTTAAGTTGCTTGAAGACGTTTCACCTCTCATCCGAGAAGCTTCTTCAGTTCTAAGGTCAAATGGTTGAGAGTCCCAGATATAAACCTAGTGGGAGTTTCCCCCCACAGAGGGACAAAAGGACCCCTGATGATCCTCTAATCACATGAGCCAAGGTGTGAAAGCGGGTGTGGGTCCCAATCAGCCAGAGTTTCGGGTGTGTTCATTGTGAAACCTGGCCCCACCTTATCATGCGAATTCCTGAGGTCAGATGGCCCAGGATGTGAGTGGGCGTTAAGGCGTCTGGGAAGGGATCTCAAAACTGGATTATAGATGGCAGACAGTTGGTGTCGTAAACCACCGCCTCTGTTCAAAGATGGTCGCTCAGAGTGCACATAGATGCTTCTTTCACTCCTCTTTCAAACCATCTGTCCTCTCTGTCCAAAATGTGAACATTGGCATCCTCAAAGAGTGTCCTTTATCCTTAAGATGCAGATGGACTGCTGAGTCTTGTCCTGTGGAGGTGGCTCTTCTGTGTTGTGCCATGCGCTTGTGAAGTGGCTGTTTGGTCTCTCCGATGTAGAGGTCTGGGCATTCCTCGCTGCACTGTACAGCGTACACCACATTGTTAAGTTTGTGTTTTGGCGTTTTGTCTTTCGGGTGAACCAGTTTTTGTCTGAGTGTGTTGCTGGGTCTGAAGTACACCGGGATGTCATGCTTGGAGAAAACCCTCCTGAGTTTCTCTGATACACCGGCTACATAGGGGATGACAATGTTGTTGCGTCTGTCCTTCTTATCCTCCCTCGCTGGTGTCTGGTCTTCTTTTCTGTGCCTCTTTGCTGACTTTAAGAACGCCCAATTAGGATAACGCATGTTTTAAGTGCTTCTTTTACATGTGTGTGTTCCTTCTTTTTTCCTTCAGGCTTAGAGGGAACATGTTCTGCCCGGTGGTGTAGGGTCCTGATTACTCCAAGTTTGTGTTCCAGAGGGTGATGGGAGTCAAAGAGGAGGTACTGGTCCGTGTGTGTGGGCTTCCGGTAAACTTCGATGTTGAGTTTGCCGTTCTCTTCAATGTGCACGGCGCAGTCCAGGAACGGCAAACAGTTATCCTTTGTGTCTTCCCTGGTGAACTTGATGTTTTTATCCACAGCGTTAATGTGCGCAGTGAAGGATTCCACTTCTTGTGTCTTGATTTTGACCCAGGTGTCGTCTACATATCTGTACCAGTGGCTGGGTACTCTTCCTTTGAAAGAGCCAAGAGCCTTCCTTTCCACTTCCTCCATGTAAAGGTTGGCTACAATAGGTGACACGGGGGAGCCCATGGCGCAGCCATGTTTTTGTCTGTAGAAGCCTTCATTGTATTTGAAATACGTGGTGGTAAGGCAGAGGTCTAACAGTGTGCAGATCTGATCGGCTGTGAAGTTGGTCCTGTCTTCTAAGGAGCTTTATTCTCTTGTGAATAAAACAATGTGTAATGTAATGCAAATAACTGCAAAATTCTGTTGTTAATTGCATTTTCCACAGCATCAGCAACATGAGTTGCATCTCCACTGTAGTTATTGAAATACAGAAAAATAAGTATGCTGCTGTTTTTTTGGAGTGATCGGATGCATTTTATGTACAGCAAAGAAAACAAACCATAAAAGCTTTAATATCGATTATTAATTAAAATAATAATTACAGTGGATCATTAAACCCATGAATGAGACTATAAATGCAATTTTTCTGCTTCAGATTATAACCAAGCCTAGCCTTAGTAGTGTGCTTTAAGTGATAGTGGAAGAACATCATTTTCCTACAGTTCCTATCACTTAATGTGAACGAGGCAGCTCAAAATCTCCTTTTTAGCTGAGCTTTGCTTTTTTGTAAGCGTTCTTATTTTA